GATAGAGCACCCACAGGTTTTATCCTCAGTATTGCCAAGAAAAAAAATTCAACTAACATCTGTCTTGGAACTATACTTGTTCATCAATTGCAGCAATTAATTGGTTACAGATACAAGAGTTTGCCAAAAATCAATTAAAGCATTCTATGAGAGTAAATTGGTCATATGCAATTTTCAACAAGGAATACTATATTTTGTGTGTGTGTGATATGTATCACTATCAGTTAACTCATACACACACACACACACACCTTTTACTTCTGCACTTTGAGAAACTTACCATCATAGCACTGATGACAAGCAACCCAAACTTAACATGACCAAAATGGAACTCAATTTTTTCATCCCTAACCAGTTGCCCCTGCAAACATCCTCATATCAATTAATAGCAAGTTCATCCTGCCAGTTGCTCTGATCAAAAATCTTAAAACCCCCTGTGACTCTTCGCTCTCCTACTCTGTATCCAACCTATTAGGAAATCCTTTTGTCTCTATCTTGAAAACCTATTCAGAGTCTGACTAATTCCCTCCCCTCCATTGCTCACATGTTGCCTCATGTGGGTTCTTGCATACCCTCCTGACCAGTGTCATTTCCGTACTGCAATTGGGGTGATTCTGTTAAAACATAAGTGAGAAATGTTCTATCCTTGGCTGGTCATGTAGCTAGTGGTAGAGTATCTGCCCAGCATGCATGAGGCCCTGGGTTAAATCCCCAGCACCAGGAAGAGAGAAAGGGGGTGGGGTGGGGGGTGGGAATATCATTTCCTGGTTAAAACCTGTCAGTGTTTTCCCATCTCACTCAGAGTCAGAAGCAGTCTTCATAATAGCTTATAAGACTGTTCAGTATCTCCGCACCCTTTCTATCATCTCTCTGATGTCTCACTTCACTCCCACAACACTGGCCTGTTCTTTCAGCACATCAGGCATCCATACTGTCACTTTGTGGCCTTTGCACTTGTTGCTTCCTTTACCTGGAATGGCTTTCCTCCACTTTTACCCGTTGTCTACTTTCTTTAGGTCTTTGCTGAAATACTTTCTTGCTGAGGCTCCTGATCATTCATCTTAAAATTGCAATCCCTCCCAACTACCACCACACTGTCCCTCTCCCCTGCTAATCATGGTCTAAAGTACTACAGGTTTTATATAAGTTTTAGTTTGTTTGGTTTTTTTTGGTACCGGGGATCAAACTTGGGACCTTCCACTTGCAAGGCAGGCAGCAGCACCACTGAGCTAAATCCTGGCCCCTAAGTTTTAGTTTTTAATCTATTTTACACACACACACACACACACACACACACACACACAGACACACACACATGCACGCACCAAAATGTAAGCTTAAGAATTTTTGGTCTGTCTTTTTCACTAGTATATCAAAGGCCTTTCAATAAGTATCTTGTAGGAGATACTCATGTAGTGGTACAAGATCCCAATGATGTATGTAAATGTATTTTATACCTAAAATGTACCAATAAACTTAATGGGGGAAAAAAATAAGTATCTTGTAGGGGTGGTCCAGGGATTTAGCTCAGTGGTTCCACCGCCTGCCTCGCAAGTGCAAGGTCCCAAGTTCGATCCCCGGTGCCAAAAAAAAAAAAAAAATGTATCTTGTACATACCAGGTGCCCAACAATCTGTTGAAAAAACAAAACATTAAGAGTATTTTTTAAGTACCCATAAAAAGTGTCATTGAGGGCCAAGGATGTAGCTCAGTGGTGCCGCACCTGCCTGGCAAGCACAAGGTCCTGAGTTTGATCCACGGTACTGGAAAAAAAAAAAAAAAAAACTGAGCAAAAGTGTCATTGAGTTTAATATAAGAGAAGTAACAGGGATCCAGGAGTGAGTCTCTACCCTTCCAGATGTTCACTTGAGAGCCATCTGTGGATTTGTCTGTGCCTGTGAATCTCTCATGGGCCACCAGGAAATAACTGCTCTTTTAAAAACACAAAAAGTTCATAGTGGACTGAAAATAAAATGAGAAAATACACACTATCAGCTAAAATCAACAATACCTCATATCAGATTCTAGCATAAACAAGTAATAGAAGTCGCCCAAAAGTATAAGAAAAATGAGTATTTACCAAGTATCTAGTGTTATCCCAGGAGTGTTTCAGATACACACCTACCTACCCCTCAAGATACTCCCAGTCTGGTGGGGGAGACAACTACACAATATTATTATCAGCCACCAACAACAAAATGTGCATAGTGGGTACAAAGGCAGCAGAAAAGGAGGGATGGATTAAGAATAGCAGCAGAGGACTGGGGATTTAGCTCAGTGGTTCTGGTGCCTGCCTCACAAGCACAAGGTCCCAAGTTTGATCTCCGGTACCAAAAAATAAAAGTATAGCAGCAGAAGGGGATGATATCTGAGCTGGCTTTTGAAGCATGAATAGGGGCCCCAGAAAGAAATTTACAAATAGGCTGGGGATTTAGCTCAGTGGTTCCACTGCCTGCCTCGAAAGCACAAGGTCCTGAGTTCAATCCCAGTACCAAAAAGAAAAGAAATTTACAATTGAGAAACATGTCACTATTAACTTTTCCTCGGGAAAAGCTGAAAGGGACAGATGACAAGAAAAGAGACCAATGGTTTCACAGGGGCAGAGTAGCTATAAGTAGTCATAAGATCATCACAGATTTAAGGGCAGCCACTAGAAAGGGGGCAGAAGGAGTAGGAAGGGCAAGAGCCTTTTGCTTAGACTGTGGCCCTTGCCTGGAGCACTCGTTCTCCAGTTCTGCACCTCTCCCAATAATGCTGTACCTCCTAAAGACAGAGGCTACCTTGATGGTAAAGACCTTACACTGTGAAATCCAAAGCCTCCGCTGTTCAAGTCTTATTAACTGTGTGATCTTGTGTCCCACTTCAAACAGCCCTGCTTTGCTAGAGGCTGACTGGGCACTCAAGGCCCTTCTTCCCCTGGACCCTGATGACCCCTCCAGCCTCATCTGCCCCATGTCCCTTTCCACCTCAAACAGCCACGCCCCTTTGTCAGGCTCTGTGCCTTCATAGACACTGCTGCCTTTTGCCTTCTGCCTCCTAAGCCTGAAGAATCCCTATTCCTCTTCGAAGACACTCTGGGCCTCAGAGTCCTGGAGCTACCACAGCAACTGGACCACACCTGCTCTAATTAGCCTTCTCTGGTTCTCAGTGCACCATGCTCCTCTCCCCTAAGGAACTTTGCACTTGCTTCCCCGCTTCAACCTGGTCAATTTTTATTCATTCTTCAGAATTCAGCTCCAACCTCCCTTCTCCTGGGAAGCCCTCCTTGGCTCCCTATGCTACTTACCATAATAATTTTAGAACTCAATCTGAATTATTTAGTGCCTGTCTTCCCCTGGGTAGGAACCACAACTGTCTTGTTTATCACTGCATGAGATACCTATAGCAGAACCTGCACACATCAGGTCCGAAGGAAGTACTTATTGAATGACTGCAGGAGAGCTTAGCCCTATCACATTCTCCTAAGTCTCCTGTTTACCTGGTTTATCTCACAACAGTCTGTGAGCTCCAGGAGCAGTAGGTCAGGGTTAGCCACCCCCCCCCAGCCCTCTCCCCCACCCTTCCTGGGAACTCTAGGGCTTTTCTGAGACACACCATCAGTGTTCCCCGGAACTCTCCCATCGTGGAAGATTTGGGGCTTCAGCTGCTGGAAGCACTGTCCTCACAAAGCCCCTCCGGGTGTTACTGGTATGGGTCCTTGTACTTTCTACCAGAAGAATCAGACAGAAGCACTTTGGCATAGGAAAGCAGCTTTTATTCCTTTGCTTGAACACAAGGGGAAGGGAGGGCAGAAATCCCAGGCTGATCCAAAGGAAAAGATTTACAGCTTTTATGGGATCTATGGCGTAGGCAGAGACCCGGTCTCTTGATGTCATCACACACAGAGGCAGTTTGGTTGTGCCGGCCCGGTTATCATGCCTAGTCAGGTGACTGTCTCATGACCATTTTAAAGCCCTATCTTGATGTGACTTTTACTATGCTAATAGAGGTAACCATAAATTACTTTAGTGACTGTTCAATGTGTACATTGTCCCTTATCTCCTGGAATTTGCCCTTTATCTTCTGGGAAAGTCAGTTCCTAATTGGGTTTTGGAACAGGACAGGTCACTCCCCTGCCTCACTGGTTTTGATTTAAATGATCTTGGTTGCTTTAGCTCTGGTTTCTTCCTATCTCTGCTGACTACAGTCTTTGAAGGTTACTTCCCAACCTCCCATCTTCTGGTGTGTTATTCTTAATTTCATAGCCTTGAAGATGGGTTCTCTTTTTAACTACCAATTCTTTGGTATTTTTGTTAACCCGCTAAGACTGTGGAGTAGCTTAGCTGTCACACAGCCAACCCCACAGCCAGATGGGCAGGGACAGAAAGGTCTGGCCTCTTAGCTCATGAGCAGACTACTTTGACTGGCCATTCCTGCTCAATCCACCACTGCCCTTGGGCCTGCAGGAGCTCTCTGCTTCTCCCTCTGACACCCCTGTTCCACAAGTGTTGAGGCCACAGATGCTCCCTCCTGCATTCCAATCTCCATCTCTGATCTGCTTCCCGTCTTCGCTGAGATTTTTCGTTCACCTAAAGTCTGTAGGCATTCTTCAGTTATCAAAGTGTTTCCCATCCATTTTTCTATTACAGTACAATACTCCCATTCTATACTGCCTGGGTGGATTAAGAAGAGCAGTTAGCCCCCAATAAACAGATGGGGAAACTGAGGCCCACAGAGGTGGAGTGACCAGCCTGAGGCTATGCACTAACTAGAAGTTGGGCTCTCCTTTTCAACTCCCTCTTCCTATCAAATCCCAACATCCAGGAACAGAAGGGGAGCCTCAGAGAAGGGAATCCTTGTCCTGGTGATGAGAATCCGGAAATCATGGCTGTGGGGTGCAGGTAGGCAGGGTCCCATGCTCCCCAAGAACAGCTGGGGAAACTGAGGTCCTGAGCCCTGCCCTCCACCGCGTGTAGGACAGGAAGGGGACGAGTCCTGCCCCTTGGGCCGCCTCCTCCCGCCCCCCACGCCAGGTCCCCGCCCGGTCTTCGCCACCTCGGAAGCGAGTCATGGTGGCGGCCGTGGCGGCGGCGTCCCTGCTCCTGTGGGCCGCGGGCTGCGCGCAGCGGGAGCACGACTTCTACGACTTCAAGGCGGTCAACATCCGGGGCAAGCTGGTGTCGCTGGAGAAGTACCGGGGCTCGGTGAGTGCACGGCCGAAGGCGGCCGGACCCGCGGGGTATCGCCCCCACCCCGGCCTGGCCCTGCGCCCCAGGCCCTGAGCCCGGACGCGCGCGCATCCGGCGCGTCCAGCGACGACGTGGCGCAGCCCGGTTCTGGAGCGCCGTGAATCTCGCGCCTTTGGGTAGCGGTGTCCAGAGCCGGTCGGGAAGATGGATGTCTGTCTTGGGCTAAGGCCTTTGCCTGACCCCGTTTGGAGTCCAGAACCAAAAGAGTTGCTGAGGTTAAATCCCTGAGCACCCTGTAGAGATGAATGTGCGGGGCAGAAGGAGCAGTTAGGCACAGGACTCTGACACAGCCATCTTTTAGAGAAAAACCCTAAGGCCCAGAGAGGGCGGGTGTTTGCACAAGGTCACAAAGCACCGGAAAGCAAAAGATCCTGGAGGAGAACCAACTCCATCTATGGTCCTCTCTCAGTGGACTCGGTAGAGGACAGTGCACCGGAGTCAACCAAGCCAGTAGGCCCCCTACCAAACCAAGAGGGAATCTTAGCTCCTAGATGACCTCAGAGAGGAAAAGCAAGCGCCTCAGTGAATCTTTGAAATAAGAGTGGATTTTAGCAAGACAAAGAGGAACCTTCCAGATAGAGCAGGGTCCACATCAAGCCGCAGAAGCAGCGGGGGGGGGGGGGGGGGGGGGGGGGGAGTTGGGTGGAATTGTCAGGTTGTGCTGAGGAGTACAGAACCCAAGGCTGAGTGGTGCTACATAGGGCTGAAGGGGTCAGGAGGGAGCAGGGGGCCTTGAACACTGCATTCAGAGGCCCATGTGTGACACTGTGTGTATGAAGACCCCTCCAAGTCTGCCTGTCTAGATGGACTTGGGGCCCCAATGTGGAAAAGTGGGGAGCTCTGTAGACATGTGGGCCCAGCATCCAGATCTGGATTCACCACCTATCACGATCATCAACATGCTTTTCCTGGGACCAAGGCCATCTTTAGTGATGAAAGTATTCTATAAGCCTTGAAATTCTCAATTATACTAGGGTCATACGGTGGTAATCTCTGCCTTTGTCCCACCTCAGAATGATGTAAATACCAAATGAGATGACAACGTGAGAGCACTTGGTAAACTGTAGCGAACTCTGTGCCTGTGTTTGGTGGAGCTCAGCAGGAACCTCATCTAGGACTCAGGGCAAACATCCAAGAAGAGCAGATCTGTTTCTGTGTAGGCCTCCCCTTCACTCTGCTGGCCAGAGAGCCCCAGGTTTAGCACCTGATCAGCTCTGCTACTCATTTATTCACTGTGCATTATTTAGCACCTACTGTGTACCAAGTACTAGGCCAGGCCCTGGGCATACAGTGAACAAAACAGACAAGTTTCCACCTGAGTACCTGAGTATAGCTTATGTGGAGGAGAGAGACAATAAACAAGGAACTGAGAAATGAGCAAGGTAATTCCCCATAGCAATAAGTGCTAAGACAGTTCTAGAACAAGGTTTCACAGTTACTAAGAGGTAGGGATAGAATTTGAATCCAAACAGTCAGTGCCAACATCCATGCTGTTAATTGCTAAATTTAGAGGGAAAACAAGGAATAATCATTGCAGGGATGCTGTAAATGTTGCTTTGAGTTAACCCAAGCTAGGTCTGCTGGTTGGGCAATAAGCTTATTCAATCATCAACAAACACTTACTGGCTCCTACTGCTCCAGAGTCCAGCCCTGGTGACAGCCACAATAAGAAAGACTGACAGTCAGCTGGGATACTCAACCAGTGTTGAGTATGGGTGAAAATGTACTTGCTTCCTATGTGGGATTATGTACCTATTAGACTTGAACGGTGTGGGGGGGGGGGAAGCTTGCTTCTGTGTACCCATCCAAGTCTATATCTCTGCTAGTATATGCACATACATAATTAGGTCCTTGGCCTCTAAGAACCAACCCTTTTGGTGTCAGTGATGGAATTGGAAGCAAGATTTCCAGCCTTCCCAAAGAGTAGGTAGAGACACATAATGTAAATTAAAAATAAGCAACCTTTAAAGCTATCATCCCCCCAGGGAAAAAGGTGGGAGGGGAGTTAAAATCCCAGTTTCTCACTACCCTAGGCAGAGTCTGACATGTACTGACCACAGATGGGGGAGGTTGTTCTAACAGCTTATGGCTCCAGGGAATGAGTCCTCTTTTGGTGGCATCAGAGTGGAGGAGTTACAGCTCAGTGACTCAGTCACGTAGCCCAGTGGCTCTCAGGGAAGATTTTGCACCCCAGGGAAGTGTTGGGAAACATTTTCCATTGTCAAGATAGGGATCTGTGGATAGAGGTCCTGGGCACTGCCAAACATCCTACAATGAACAGGATAGGACCCATGCTACAAAGAATTATCTGGCCCCTAATAACAGTAATGTTGAGGTTGAGAAACCCTATCTGGTCTGAGCAGTTTGTGCTTGTGCCCATCCAGTGCCCCAGGGATTGGACCCTCTTTATGGGGCCAGCTAGTGCAATCCCCACTCTTCTCAAAAAGTGGCAAGGGAAATGTGGCTGGGTTACCCAGGGACAGGGTAGGGTTTTTAATCCTTTAATAATATATAGCTAAAGCTACCAACCAACATGGCATTGGTGCCAAAATTCTACTTGCAGTATTATAATCCACTTCCGTCAGCCAACTTTATGTTTATTGCTTAAGCTTTTAATAAAATTAGGAATTAGTCTAGTGATCAAAGAAAATAGTGTTTGCTGGAGGGGAGGGGATGAAAATGGGATTGTTCTGGAGCCCAGGGTCCTTTTATCAAGAAAACCTGTGTCTGTCCACCCATGCAGGTGTTTGTGTATGTGTGCAAACTTAATCATTCAGCAGACTCTTTCACTTAACTGAGACTTTTCCATATGCCAGGAGCAGAGGTGACATGGACATAGCTCCTGCCCTCAGTAGGTTCCAATTCTAGAAGGGAGACCAAAACATGCAGGCAATTACCAAGTGATGCATGTTAGCTGAGACCAAAATTGAATCCAGGTTGCTTTTCTACTCTTCCACATCCCCTCCCCATGTTTGTTCCCCAGTGTGTGCCTCTGTGAATGTGTATGCTATTAGCTCATGTTTGTTTGTATCATGGGACATATGCATACCCATTTGTGTATCGTGTACTTACAGATGTTCATGTACATGTGCACACATCTTTAAGCCCCTGCATGCTTGATTTTATATACCTGTATGCATGAGTTTGTATATATGTGAGAGCATTGCATGCACATTTACTTAGGTACATGGTGTTCTTGTATATGTGAGGGAACATTAATTACTAGGGGAGTTATGTATGTGGGCATGTCAGGGCATGTACACCTGCAAGCCATTTTGCGGGTTGTGTATGTGTCTGGGTCTTTTTGTTTTGTTTTTGTCATTCAGGTGTCCCTGGTAGTGAATGTGGCTAGCGAGTGCGGCTTCACAGACCAGCATTACCGAGCCCTGCAGCAGCTGCAGAAAGACTTGGGTCCCCACCACTTCAACGTACTTGCCTTCCCCTGCAACCAATTTGGCCAACAGGAGCCAGACAACAACGGGGAGATAGAGAGTTTTGCCCGCCGCACCTACAATGTTTCTTTCCCCATGTTCAGCAAGGTTGCAGTCATTGGCACTGGTGCCCACCCTGCCTTCAAGTACCTGACTGGTGAGTCCCATTGCATCCTCCTGTCATCTTCCCTCAACTGGCTGAGGCTGTGGTCCTCTGGGCAGAAAAAGCCAAAGGTTGGGTGACCTGAGGGTCCTTGCAATTCCCTTAGGTGGCTTGATGTTTTGTTCCAGCACTAATCTTAGGAGAGGATGGGGGCAGCCAGGAGCTGAAGGGGATTCTTGCCTAAGAATGTCTCCACACTTTTTGCCTCAGAGTTCTCCCTCCGAGTCACTCCTGAGGACTCCTCTGGGGGCTTGGCACCTGGAAGAACCCTGGGTCCTCATGTTTTAGTCAGTATAGATTAGCTGAGCTTATGGACTTACGATGGAGAAGCCAAGGTGCAGACAGGGTATGATAGACAGCTAAGTTAGGTAGGTATTAATATGCAGTCAGAGAGAGACTGGGCCCTCAAGGAGGTCAGCACAAAAAATAAAGACATCAAAATTATGCCTGAAAATTATGTCACATCTGAAAGAAGCCAGGCCTCAAGATGGAGACACAATAGCTAGGCCTGCATGCCTCTCCAAGAGATGATCAGCTACTTGTGATTATACCATAATTAGTACCACCCAGTCCACTAAGTCCAGATAGGCATCATCACTAAGTCCAGATAGACGCCTTGGTGGCCAACCAGAACATCTGGTCCCATCCTCCTATCCCTTTGTAAAAGACAAGAGGCATTTTTCCTCTCTCAAGGGAACACCACATGTTTGCAGAAGGCTGACCAAGATGACTGATAGGCATCTCCCGTCTTGCCTCAGAGGCAAAATCTGTAGGTCATAGGAGGGAAACCTGAGCTAAAATTCCAGATCTTACTGTTTCAGAAGTGGTCTCAGAAGCCACAGAGCCACAAAGTGGGGTCATGGACCATGCTTACACTGTGACCCTCTTTCCTTCCTCAAGTCCTTTTCCTCCTTTGGGGACTCCATGCTTCTGGTTGCCTTTGTATGCCTCACCTCACCCTACCCCACAACCCACCACCTGGTGGAATAAATGAGAAACAATAGTGTAGCAAATCTTACCAAGGCAGGTTTGCATTTCACTCTTGGGTCAATCCTGTTGTTTGCTTTTTTCCTGTGTGATTTTGTTAGTTCTTTCCCAGTTCCCATAGTTACAGGTCGGATCTGGCCTTCCTTCGGGAGCACTTGGCAAGATCTTAAAATTGCACGAGCCAGAGGCCTCCTGAAACAGAGCCCAAGAATCTCTTTAAGAGCTCCTCTCTCATGATTCTGATTCAGTCTGTCCATGGACGAATACCTGGAAACCATTAAGATTTAATTAGAGAGTATGGTGTAGTCTGTTCAGTAGTTCAAGAACTTTAATAAAGGAGGATTTGGTGCTGCTTTATCACAGAATCCTGAAGTGTGCATTCCCCCCCTCCCCGCCCTGCCCAGTACCAGGGATTGAACTCAGGACCTTGCGCTTGCCACACAGGCACAGTGCCACTGAGCTACACCCCTGGGCCTAAAGCATTCATTCTTAACCTTGATCCCACATCAGAATCTCCTGGAGAATTTTTGAAGAATACTACAGTAGTGGCCAAATCATATCCTCTGATTGTGATTTAATGGTCTGGAGTCTACACCAAGCATCAGGATTACACCAATAGTGGAATGGCAGGAGTGGGTATGGGGATTCCACTTAATTCTTCTTCTCCCTTTTTCTCCAGAGACTTCTGGGAAGGAGCCCACCTGGAACTTCTGGAAGTACCTAGTGGCCCCAGATGGAAAGGTGGTAGGGGCTTGGGATCCAACTGTGGCAGTGGAGGAGATCAGGCCACATATCATAGAACTTGTGAGGAAGCTTATCCTGAGGAAGCGAGAAGATTTATAACCACCCTTCTCCCACCCTACCCATCTCATCTATCTGTGTATAGGTGGTCAAACAAAATCAGTGGTGATTCAAAGGGAGAGACCACTGAGTCTCTTCCCTTTGCTCTTATCCCACCTACCCTATCACTCTTACAGGGGGGAAAAAAATCTAAAATTTGCTATTTGAATAAAAGAATAACTAATAGGTACTTCTGGCCAATGAGAGCTCTTGACAGTGAATCACCAGCCAGTAAGAACCTCTAGCCATTGAAACATGTGTCAAGTAGAAGTACACCAAGCAACAGTCTCCTGCCCAGCCAGGCCTTTGTCAAATGGGGCTGATTCCTATCTCACAGGCTGTTGTGAGGATTAAGATGAATACCTGTGAAAGTGCCTAGATCAGAGCTAGCCAAATAGGAGGCATTCAATAAATATTTTTTTGCATATAAACCAAAAGATAACTTGTGATCAATAAAAACTTGCACCTAGGGCCAGGGATCTAGCTCAGTGGTTCTGCTGCCTGCCTCGCAAGCACAAGGTCCCAAGTTCAATCCCTGGTACCAAAAAAACCCCAACAAAACAACAATATCCTTGGGCCGGGGATTTAGCTCTGGATTCACCACCTGCCTCGCAAGCACAAGGACCCAAGTTCGATCCCCAGTACCAAAAAAAATAAAAAATAAAAATAAAAAAGAATGTCAAGAGTTGTGAGGCTCTGGAATTGATCCCTAGTACTGTAAAGAAAAAAAAAGATGCAAATTTCTTGTAAAAGCTTGTGTTAGTTATTTTTCTCTTGATGCTGAAAAAAAAATACCCAACACCCAAAATTAAAAGGAGAAAGGTTTATTTGGCTTACAGTTCGTAGAGGTTTCAGTCCATAATAGGCAAGCTCCAAGGCAGGATGGCAGAGGGGCAACAGTTCATGGCAGCAGAACACAGCAAAAGGAACAAGGGAGTTTTACAGTGACTTTCTGCCCCTTTTATCTTATTCAGACTACTAGGATTAGGGTAGTGCGAAACCAATTACAGTGCCAAACCAGCCACTCGTGTAGTGGTTTAGTAACCACATGCCCTTAATCCTAGCCATCACACGCTGTAGATTCACCCACCTCTGAAAAGGATCGCATGAAGCTTTCGCATGAAGCTTTGGAGGAACATCTAGACATAAGCCATAACATTCTGCCCCTGGATCCTCAAAGACTCATGCATATACCCTTATGCAAAAAAGCATTTAGTCCATCTCTAAAAGTTGCCGAAGTCCTAACAGTTTCAGCATTGCTGAAAAGTTCAAGTTCAAAGTCTCTGAATTTTAAGGCAAACTCTTAGCTACAAGCCCTTATACAAATGAAAACAAAAACATTTCCAGCATTCAATGGCACAAGATAGACGTTACTATTCCAGAAAGTTACAGACAGAAGGATACAAATGGGAACAAGCCAAGTCCAAAATCCATCAAGGCAAACATTAAATCCCACAGTTCCACTTCCAGCACCCTGGCAATCTCTGGCAAATTGTGAACTCCAAAGGGCTTGTGTGGCTTCACCCCTATGGCACTGCAGATGGTTATAGCTCCCATGGCTTCTCTAGGGCCAGTTCTGCTCCCTGTTTGCAGCTTTCTTCAGACAATCCCCACTCCTGGCTTCTCCAAACTTCTGGGATTTCTACTGCTTCTCACATTACCCTCTCAGGCACACTGCCTGGCCTCCTAGGCCTTCTTCTGAAATCTGGGTGGAAGCCTTCCTGACCCCACAGCTCTTCCATTCTATATGGGCCTAAACCAGTGTGCCACGTGGACGATACCAAGGTCTGCTGCCAGCTGGAGCAGTAGTAGCCGGTCTTTCCTCTCTCTTGGTTGTAGAAGTCAAATGCCTGGATGGCTGAGCACTCTTAGTCCAATTCTGAGGAACAAATTCTCTAGGCTGCTGCCATTCTGGCACATGGTACTCTAGGGGTCCCTTCTTAAGGCAAATTCACTTTTGCAATTTTGAGCCTGCAAAGGGTGGAGTCCTGCTACTTTTTCTGATGCCCTCAGGCCATCTTTTCTATTCTTTTCCTTCTCAGCAATCAAGATCTCCTCTGCTCTATCTTTGCAGTCCACAGCTTTACTGGAGCTTCCTTTCTGGCCAAACTCAAAACATTTTAAATCATTCTGTTCGGCTCTTTGCTCTTGATTCTCAACATAAATCTAGCTAAAAGCCCCCAACAGTAGCCATGCCACCACCTCAATATTTGACTGCCTTAAAATTTCTTCTGCAAGATTAGATTAGTCTACTGCCCCTAATCTCAGTCTTAAGCAAAGTCTCAGTAGAGGAGCAAAATGAAAACATACTTTCTTCCAAGCCACAACACACATCATCTGGAGTCCAACAGCCAATGCAGTCCTTTCCAGCAGAAACCTCCTGGGCCAGGTCTTTACCGGCTTTCTGACCTTCTGAACTCTGATCAGACTCTCCCAAACACAACAGCCTAAGTGTTCCAGCAGCTCTACTTTTTCAGTTGACATCTCTGAATCTCTCCTAACTCTTCCCCTTCCCACAAGACAGTTCCAAAGGCTCTTGAGCCACATAACCAGGTAATGTTACAGCAATGACCCCACTTCTGATACCAGTTTCATTGTAGTCAGGATTCGCAAGGGAAATAGATTTAATACAGGAGACATAATTTATAGTATTATTTTATAACAGTCACTCAAAAAGTCAAATGCAGAAGAGTGCAAGAGATCTAGTCATGTACTAGAGACCCAAAGAATCCAGCCAAGGGCCTGTATCCCACCGAAATATCCCACACAAGTCCAGCTGAAGGCCTAGATTCCAAGGGCAATGTCCTTCATGAGTCCAGCCAGTGGCCTAGAGCCCATGGCAATATCTTATGCTTGTCCATATCAAGGATCTGCACCTGGAAGGCCCAAAGCCCAGAGGTGGGTGCTGGAAAACCTGTGCTGGTAGGGTGAAGGATTTGTGCCATCAGGCTGAGCGATCTACACTGGAGCCAGGAAGTGACACTCACAGTGAAGATCAGAGCTCCCCTGATGAGACCATCAGCCATTCCCAGGGACAATGAGGACCCGAGCTCCTCCTCCAAAAAGTACAGCCAAGCTCACATCACAAAAACCAACTGCAGCGAGCTTCTCTGAGAAAATCAACAGCCCACAATCTTCCCCTCCAGTTCTCTTTTTATGCTATTGACAACAATCCTCAGGTGAGTCTTCCAATCCCAGAACCATGCTAACTCTTTTCAGCTGGTCATTCCAAGTTGACCATTAGTTAATCCATCACAAAGCTCCAGTAATAAAGAAGTGAAAGGTTACCCTTCATTTTCTATACTCTCGAGCCCTAGAGGTAAACACTGCCAGCAATTTTGTACAAAGGCTTCTAGGCCTTTTTTAAAAAAAATTAAGCCAATCATTATTTTTCTGTTACTGACCAAAAGTATACTACAATGACAAATAGGTAAAGGATATGAATAGATAATTCACAAAAGAATACAAGTGGCCAGTAGGATATGAAAAGATGTTTAGCCTCATTTAAGTTGGAAAGATTTTTTTAAATGATAGTGCCTATTATTGGTAAGGATGTGGGGAAATGGACATTCACATAAACATTTATAGGATAATAACCCACAACAAGTTTTTAGAGTGTGATTTGATGATATCTTTGAAAACAAAATGTTCAAACCCTCTGATCCAGCATTTCCCCTTTCAAATACTCCCAAACTATATATGTACATATGAACAGTTATATGTATTTTTTTTTATAAGAGTGAAAATTTGGATGCAACCCATATGTCCATCAGTGTGGGTCTGGTAATATATTATGGGATAAATCCAAATGATAAACTGATACCATTATTAAGATGAATGAGTTAGATCTGTATGTGCTACCATAGAAAGCTGTCCACAGCTGAAAAAAGGACAGGTTGTAAAACAGAATGAGCACATGCACACTCACACAAAGAAGCAATATGAACAAGTATATTTTTATTAAAAACTTGTAATGTTAAGTGAAGGGAGAAGAATGTAGACCAAAATGTTAATGATGGTAACAGGAGCCACTTTTTAAAAATTAAAGTATTTCTTTAAAGTTTAGATTTTGTATATAAAATGTATATTTTACTCATAGAAAGAGGCAGCTAACTACTGAGGTAATGGGAAAAGTCACTGATCAGTAACTCAGCTTCCAAGATCAGACTCTTCTCAGAAGTCTGGAGACTCAGATTCAAGTTCTAACTGTGTCCCTGACTCACAGACAGATTAAATTGTTCCACCTCTGCTGTTCCCCATTTTCTCACCAATAAGGAGAGGGTTACTTACAGTTCTTTAAATCTCCCTTCATGATCCTTATCAAAAGCTTCCCAGGGTAAAGTGAAGGCAGTGGGCTAACCACAACCCCTTCAGTGATGGTCCCTAGCCTATCCTTGTATACCCTACTCCGGGCTCTACCTCTGCATATGTTCATGCATGAGTGTAAACACACATTCCACACTCACATAATGAAACCAAGATATCAGAAATTTTCATGATGAGTATCTCAGAACCACGTCTCTCTGAGCCCCCTTCCTGTCTATACACATTGTCTCCATCATCTGTATTTGTGCCTTACTTCCTTCTACTCACCAAGACCATCACTTAGCCCCTTATTGTAGAGTCCAGTGGACATCTCTGACCTTATCCTACTGAACCTCTCAACCACATCTGATGTTGCTGACAACATTTTTCTTGAGACATTCTCTTCCCCTGGCTTTCTTGCCACTGTCTCCTCTTAGTTTGCCCCTGTATCTCTGAGTGCTCCTTCCTTCTCAGTGTCTGCCCATATCTCTTTCCTCTTCTACCCAGCCCTTCCCTGTTGGTCTTTTTTGAGGTTCTAAGCTGATCTCTTTCCCTACTCCATACACTTTTCTGCAGCCACCTCATTTCTTCTCATGATTTTGATCATCATCTATCCCCTGATGACACCCAACTCTCTACCTTGTGTCTATGCTGGGCTGATATCTACCATCCTAGTGGGCATTTCTACAGATAACTCAAAACTCTAGAACTAAACTCTTCACTGTCCCTGACACACTTGCTGTCCCTTCACCCAGCCTTTGCACCCTTTAAGCTTCCCTTTTACACACGATTCCCTTGCTGGTGTGCGTACTCACCACACTGTCCTCACTGTTGAAGCAACTTCCCTTCCTTCCCTCTCCTCTGCAGTTCCTGGCTCTTAGCAGATTAAACTGAATTACGTAGTAAACATTTCGAGCACCAGCTCCATGGCTGCCCCTGACTAGATGCTATCTGGAAGCCACAGAAGTACAAACCACTTCCCCAGAAGCTTAGAGTCTAGCTGAGGATTTTATACTTCCGGTCGGACTTGGATTCCTATAGATTTACCAGCTTTCTGCTGGTCCCAAGTCCCCTGTAACACATGCAAGAGTCCTCTATGAAAAATGTCACTTCAATTTCTTATCAGCTATCATTTTACTCATTGGTTAACCAGTATCTGGTAACAT